TCATTGCATAACAGAGTATCCGCTTTGTTAACACAGAACAAGTTTATTCAATAATTAAAACTTAATTAGTTTTATAGTTTTAATATGTGATGTAAAATACTTTTAATTGTATTTATACAAGACTTGTCCACAAGTGACAGTTGAACCTTCCATTCCAGACCCCGTATGTAACGAACCTTTTTTGTAAAATATAATAAAATACACGAATGAATAATTTGCTAATCAAGTAATTGAAATATACCTGATATATACCGATTGTGGGCCTGACTCAGGCCGACTGAGGGTCACCCGATTCATGGATAGTCACGACAATGGGTCCAATGGTTTCATTTGAGAAGAGAGTATTTAAATTCAATTCTCAAAATGTTTGTCTAATTTGAAAGAAACAAATTCAACGGATTGTTATTAAGAGGAGGAAAACTCACTGCAAAATGACATTCATTTACATCTCTGCCAAACAGCCAACAGCTCATCACATACTTAGGAATTCATAGCCCATCCGCTCCTCCAATACATACTTCACAACCAAATTTCACGCAATTGTCAGTTAGAGGGTTAAAGTGAGTGAAAATATTGACAACACAGAAAATTCATTCATTTCACTCATTTTATTCACACATATATTCAATACACTATTTCATCCAAACATACAATTATTTTTAAATTTCAATCAAAATAAATGATAAAAAAAGAGAATAAAGAGTCAAAGAATGAAAGAATTTTGAAGTTTTGTTTGTTTTAAAGTTAAGGTGAGGTTAAAGGAGCAGTTGTGGACGCATTCACCGCTACGTAAGCCTTTTGGCCGTCAGTCTGAGCGCCGCTTAAGAGGCTCTTATTCACGTCATCATTGCTCTGAACGCCTGCACCACTACCTGAAGGCCAGCCTATGTTACCGGTCTGACCGCCGTCTACACCATTATTGGATTGGTTTTGCGCGGACTGACCGAACAGAGCAATGCCCGCCTGATTAGCTATCGCAGCGGCCAGTTGTAGGGCCGCCGCCTGTGGGTTCATATTCATAGAATTAATGCCATAATTAGGGTTTGAATTGTTGATAGAATTGAGTGCGTTTTGAGAGCCGATACCTAAACTGTTTCCTAAGGACGACAGGTTTGGTAAGTCATTGTTTTGGTTGCGTTGAGTCACGTGAGAGCCTAAAGCGCCGCTCCATATCTGTTGGTGAGCGGCCGGTGCGCTGCCAACTGCTCCCGAAGACGTCGGACCAAACCTATCGAACCCGGCGTTGGAATTCAGATAAGGATTGGACGATCGGTGGCCCGGATTGGCGCGTCTCGAGTCAAATGGCGGGTAATTATAGCTCTGATGAACGCCATAGCCGTCATTAATGCGGGAACTATTCATTGCATTCATGGAAACACGCGATCCATTCATACCCATACCGGCACTCGAGTTGCCATACCTTCCATGAGGACCACTCGACCCATTATAACCTCCCTGAAGGTTGAGCTCCACTTTGGGAACCGCATTACTTACGTGAATCGACACGCCTTTGATTATGTGGTCTTCGCCGCAGAGGGTCTGCGCGATGTCGCTGTCGAAGAACGTCACGAATGCAAACGCCCGGAACGGCTTCGGTATGAATACATCGCACACTTCGCCGTATTTAGAGAAGTATTCTCTCAGATCATCGATCGACAGCTCTTCGGACAGACGGCCCACAAATATCTTGCGATTGAATTCGGATGACTTATAGTCGAAACCTCCGCCCTCTTTGCTGATGGGAATGCGGACATCACACCACCGGCCGTCGATGCAGTGCCGCTTCGACACCACTTTGATCTGTGCCTCGTATTCGTTGAACCGAACGAATCCGAACCCTTTCGAGAGACCACTCTTCGAGTCCTTCTTCACCTGAGCCAACACTACTTCTCCGTATTGTTCAAAATACTCTCTCAACTCGCTCTCCGATGTCTTCCACGGAAGACCCAATACTATGAGATCCGAACACTTCTGCTTGGATTCCATTCGTTTCGTTTTAGCCATCGATGTCTCGGTTTGGTCATCGATTTTACGCTTGTTTTCTGTAAACATTTCCAATCAATCCATTCGTTAAACACATTCATAACGAGACAATTGTCGCAAACCTTTAGGAAAAGCGCAATAATAGACGGCATTAGACCTCCAGCCCTGATCTGGCGGTTGGAGTCGACCATCGATTAGTCTAATGCCACGAATAGTTCCCGTTTCCGAGTTTCGGTACTTCAGACCACTCGCGCCCGGGAAGAGAGAAGTTAGCGTTGACAGCAATCTAATGGATCCACAAATGGGTGTTCAGTGTTAACAGTGTTGTAGTCATAGTATGTATTCATTATAATCACATTGAATTAGTGGTGTCCTCTTCGCACGGAATCTCAATCGCTTCCTCTCCCTCTTCTTCGGCCACTTCTATATATGAAGCCATTGTTTGAGCCATTGGTCGCCTATTTATCAGTCAATGATCGGTAAAATTCAAATCAAATCCAACTTTGAATGCAATAATCGGTAATTGATTTGAAATGATTTCAATGCAAATGTGTTTCCATACAAATCAATGCACAATAGGTGTGAGCACTGACTCAAGCGCTGACTCGAGCCTCAAATCAAGCCTCGACTCGAGTCCTCACAACCAATCGCCTCAACACTCATTGCGAAGCGCTTTGTGTTTCAAT